GCAGGGGGGGGGAGGGAAGGAAGAAAGAAAGACAAAATTGGCAAACAATTTTAAAGATTTTGAATAGCAGTTCCTTGTTGGTCTCATGAATGGGAGATCTCCCTTTATTTATTTTATACGATCATATTTTAAGTAACAGCAGCTTTTATATGACACTCCTTCCATAATGATTTGAAAAAGAGGAAATTGTTTTTATGCTCTGGAATAGCACTTAATTGGCAGGAACATAAGTTAAAAACAGAAAAAAAGAGGTAGGATTGCTATTGAAGCCTGAAAGAAAATAAAAAGCTTCTAGCCCCATTACCTCAGTGGAAGACAAAGGCATAATTAATACAACTTACAAAGAAGTTATTATCAGAGAGGGAATGTCACCAAGCCCCACCAGCCCATTTTGTTGGTCTAATTTAGCTAATAACCACTTTGCTGTAACCATTCCCATTCACATGGGCCACACCAAGCATCCTCCATCAACCCTGTAAAGACATGTTGTCCATTGCCTGAGGAATAACTTTTAATTGATCGCATGGAGTGTGATGGACAAGAATAAGAATTCCAAGTGCAAATCTACAGTTATAGCCCAACATATCTTTAGGGAAGCTGAACTATTTTCAAGTACCAATCAGCAACACTGGATGGTGAATGAGGCTCTTGGCAATCCTCCATGCACAGAGGACTTCCATTATCCCTGATCTCTTTCTTAACTTCCTTCTGTCACCCTAATCACCACCCAGGCTGGGCACGTTCATTTTATTTCCAGATACATATATCCGGTGAACATTCCATAAATAATATCATCCCAGATGTCGCTACCACTTGGTCACAAGAACATCCTTCTGTCACTGCCAGTCCCCAGACAACTTGAGTGGGATACCCAGCAGGGCCAAGTGAGGCAGGTCCCACTCCTGCCTTCATGGGGAATGAGCTGAGGGACCACAGATCTGATCCTATGAGGAAGTGTTTTCTCTTTCTTATTTTTTTGTGATCAGTCTAACTTTATCCATTCTTCTTCCTCCAATTCCTTTAAGGACTTGTAATCCTAAGCCAAAATCCATTCAGAGCAAAGACAAAATCTTAGTCTACAAGCAAAATCTAAACTCTGAAGATAATCAGGAGAGAAGTCAAGGATCCGGCTGAGGATGGGACAGAGCAAAGATGGCTATATCCCAGACTGTGACTAACAGGCAGACTGTGTTTCGGGAGGTGCATCTTCCAAAGAAACTGAAGAAGGTGGTGTTGTGGTATAATCGGCTGAGTCCTGGATGGGGCTTTGGAAGATGGGGCTCTGATCTCTCCGCTACCAATAAATAACCATGTGACCCTGGACAAGCCATTTTGTTTCTTGTTGCTTTCATTTCCTCAAGGTAAGATGCCCAGGCAAGATGATCAGTCTTCCTCCAGTGACACATGACACATTTTCCTGGCTATACCATCATCATACTAAAATTTGAACAAAGACGGAGCTGGGTTTCCCAGCTTTCTTGCTTTCCTTTCCTTTTTTTAAACCCACATCCTCATTTGAAGACCTTTTCAGTATAGAGCAAGATAATATGAAACCTTTTTAGCTTCAGCATTCTCTGATTCTAAGTGGAAAAAGGGAGATTTTGTAACTGTATATTTCTGTATTTGATGTCCCAGCCTGCCTTCCAAAATAGTACTCAAATATTTGTCAAACAGAATAGAATTGGGTGACTTAAATGTCACTCCCTCTTTTTCTCTCTCCCTTCTCTGCCTTTTATGTCCCGTCCCCTCCCATTCTTTCTACAGTGCCCAAGGTGCTGGGGCTGAAAGCAGGTACAGTCTGGCCTGGACCCTAGACTCATAACTTCAATCCCCATTCTTATGAAGCACATCCAACCCTCGGTGATGTGAGCTGAGTTTGGTTACAGAACCAAAGGTCAGTTTTCCTTTCTCCTTTCAGCAAGCAGCAAACAAGAATGTCCTGCAGAGGGCCAAAACCGGATCGACTTACACCGAGCACACTGGAGTCTTTTTATTTCTGTCCTCCCTATATTTTGGAAGCTCCAGCAGGAATGTGGCCTGAATTTAAACATGAGGAGCCGCGACCATTAACAGTGAGTACTTTTGTAGATTCATGCAGCCTCTTCTGCCTTTCCTCTCCCTTGGCCTTGAATGATCTGTTGTTAGCAGACAATTCCCTTGTTGTACTGCAGAGAGCAGGCAGAGCCTGCCTCTCCCATTGTCTCTTATACAGGCAAACAAAAGCAGTCTTCTTAGTCCAGAGCCCTGTGCTGATAAAAGGCTGATTAAAGCCTCTTTTGTGGTGAAATTTAATAGGTCTGGGTTGGGCATTATATTTGATTAACCCCAGCCAGTCATTACACGATATTTTATAGAGAGCACTGGCTATGCCCAGTGGTTCCCAGCTGGGTGGAGCCCATCTTTGAACTCCCGGGGCACACTGGCAGAGCTGGTCATCAGCAAATGGAAGTCATGAATTTCTCTCTGGGACCTCTACTTGCCTTCTCAATGCCCCACTCCGCTATCCTTTGTATTCCTTCTTCCCCAGCCCAGTACCCAGTGCTTTCCAGGTAGTGAGAAAGCACTTTCTGAGAGAAAGGCATGGATGAACTCCATCTTGCAAGCGAGTTCGAAGAACCTTGGAGTGGGCATGGCGGGGCTTAAAATGATAAAGTTCTTGTAGTGTCCTCAGTTCAAAACTCCCTCTTCCAATGGTTGGGCCCAGTGACTTCTCCCTGCCCCTGTTTGAAGAGTTAAAGGAATCAGACTAATCCCACCAGACCTCAAGCCTGCCCCCCTTTGCTCAATGCTGTTACTGACTGAACACTGACATTGCAACTTCCTGGCTGCCTGTACTTTGATACCCAACAGGCGTGGGATGCCAGACCTTCTAAGAAGGGAAGCATGGCTGTCGCTGCGAGTTCTGCCTCCCTAAGTCCCTCTCCCTCCCACCAGTGATGTAACTACACTCTGCCTACCTGTCTTCCTGGATATTCGGGCATTCCTTGGTCCCTGCAGTTTTTCCTTCCATCCTTTTTCTCTTGCCAGGCAACCCTAAGGCTGATGAGCCTTCTGTCCCTTGCTACCCAGCCAGCAACCCAATGATGGTTCCAGGTCCAGGCCCACTTTACTCTCTGTAGTTAATTTTATTTTGCCCTCTGTGTCCCAAGTGTACAGAACACGTGTTCTGCCAAGAGTCAGGAGCAGTGGACCAACATGTGTGTCAGGTAAACTCATCCAACAGGTGACTGAGTAGAACACACTTCAAAATTCCACAGAAATACTTTTTACACCCCCCCCCAAAATTGCACATAAACACCTCCCTTCAGCATGTTCTTGAAGCTCTGCCATAGCACTCACCACACTGTGCTGTAATTGTTGTGCAGTTGATCATCTGTGTTTCCTTCAGGACTGCAAATTTGAGAGCAAGGAGCATGTTTCAACTTAGCACAGCACCTAGCCAGCTTTTATTTTCTTTTATGATGATTTGAATGAATTGAGGGCTGGAGAGATGGCTCAATGGTTAAGCACAGTTGCTGTTCTCCCAGAGGACACAGGTTTGATTCCCAGCACCCACATGGCAGCTAACAAACATCTATAACACCAGCTCCAGAGCATTTGACACCTCTTCTAGCCTCTGTGGGCATTATACAACACAGGTGCACTTACATACATATAGGCAAAACACTCAGACATAAAATAAAAATAGTAAATAAAAAATATTGAATGAGTGATATTTTTGTGTGAATTAACTTTAATTATAACATATTAGAAATGCTTAGTATATCCATTAATATTTATTCTGTTGACTATTTTTATATTTAAATTTTTAATTTTTTAGACTTTCACATATATATTTACATATTTCCATGAGTGATTATTTTTAAAAGTAAGAACCTAAACCAGCATAGTGATACACATTTGTGATCACAATATCCTGAGGCAGGGGAAGCATGAGTTGTAGGACACCTTGGGTCACAGAGAAAGGAAAGAAAGAGAGAGAAGAAGAAAAATGAGAGCCGTGCCCTAACACACCTGAGCTGTGGCAGCTCCATTTTTACCGTGCAGGGACACTGCCTGTCTTAGTAATAGTAGCATGTTTTAATATTTTAATATTTTTCTTAACATATTAATTATAGATAATAATGGATTTCATGATGACATTTTCATACATGTACATAATATATTTTGAATATATTCACTCTGTTACCTTCTCTCTTTTTTTGACTTTTTAAAAATGTATTTTTAGGTGCCTGCATTCATACAACATGCATGCAATACCAGTGGAGGCCAGAAAAGGGCTTTGGAGCTCCTGGAACTGGAATCATGGACAATTGTTAGCCACCATATGTCTTTTAGGAACTGAACCCGGGTCCTCTGCAAGAGCAGCCAGTGCTCTTAACTGCTGAGCCAGCTCTCCAGCTCCTGGTTACCCTCTCTTGTTCCATTCACACTTTTGTTGATCCCCTTCCTCTTCCCAACTACCCTCCTCCCTTTCATTTTCATGTCTTTTTTTTTTTTTTTCTGTTTTTCTGTGACTCAATGAGTTTTATTAGGGTTGTTTACATGAATGTGTACCTTGTCAATGAAATGTCTCTCCTTTCAAGCAATAACTTCTTTATAGGTAACAAACATCTGGGGTTAGTACTAAGATAGCTATACCAGCTTTCTATACTTAATATTTTCCTGGCTTTGTTTTTAATGTCTTTTAAAAAATATTTTATTTTTTATTTTTTTTACTTTATGTGTATGAGTGTATTGGCTGCATGTAAGTGTAGCCATGTCATGTAATGCCTGTGGAGGTCAGAAGAGGACATTGGATCCCCTGGAAGTGGAGTTACAGATGGTTGCTAGCCACCATGAGGGTGCTGGGGATTGAACCTGGATCCTCTGCCAGAGCAGTCAGGGCTCTTAACTGCTGAGCCATCTCTCCAGCCCTATTTTTTATGTTTTTTTACTTTCAACTTTTGGTGTCTTTGATTCAGATGAATTTCTTGTCGAAAGCATAGAAGATTTTATTTTATTATTGTCTGATAATTTTGGAATTCTAATTTCACTAAAGTAGACTTAACTAGACTGTTTACTTGCAATGAATGATATACTTGAGATTGAGTTGATGACTTAAGGGTTTTTTTAAATTTGTAATTAACATAATTGTACATATTTATAGGGTACCGTAAGATATTTTAATTCAGTTATACAATGTATAATTATCAAATGTAGGGTGTTTTCTCTGATTTTTTTTATAAAGTCAGGTCCTCCAAACAGAATGCAGTTGTCATAAACCCCTGGTTGTATGAGACTTTTCCTGAGAAAACAGGACAACACACACACACACACACACATACACACACACACACACACACACACACACACAATCACCTCAGATAAAGAACCCACAACAGATCCACGTAACAATTCTACCAAAGTCCAACTTGGTGAACCAGTGAGTTTTTATTGGGGTTCCTACAGGAGTGTGGGTAAGGTATTACTTATGGGTACAGACAGCTGTATCCCTGAAAAGCCCACCCCAACCAACATGGGTGACAACTCATGGAAGCCACAACCAGGGGCTCTCCACATGACTTGCAGGCAGCTCCACAGATCCCAGAATCATCTCTCAGTCTCTTGGCTGGTCAGTCTCCTTCCCCAGCAGTAGCTTTTGCTTCCGTAGCCCTGGGAAGGGGTACTTGTGAATCTTGCAAGTTTTAGCTTTACCAGACAGGTGAAGTTTGTTTATTCTGGGGTCTCATGGAACATTCCCTGGAGGGAAGTCTCAATTCTGGGGAAATGGCTACGCGAGACCCGTCCCTGGACACCTCATCCAGCAGGGAAGATGAATTCATACCACAGGAGAGGAGACAAGATCTACACTAGGCCCAGACAGACTTTGCCACAAGTGTCAGCTGCTCTCAGGACCCATTTATCCCTCCTCTAAATCATTTACTCTCTCCAAATTGCCAATATCTCCCCTCTGCTCTGAAGATAGACTATACACTTCTAGATCTCACTGAATGTTGTGGTTTGAATCTGGGGTGTCCCTCAAAGACCCCAGTGTTAAAGGTTTGGTCTTCCCCTGACACTATTGGGAGTAGTGTAAACTTTCAGACATTGGGGCTGTGATGGTTTAAATAAGTGTCCCCGATAGGCTCCAAGTATTTGCATACTTGACCCGAGTTAATAGATGGCAATGCTTGCTGAGGTTTAGGAGGTGTGGCCTTGCTGGAGGAAGCACGTCACTCCAGACAGGGCTGAGAGTATATAACTTGCCCACTTCCACTCTGTCTCTGCTTCCTGTGACAGCTTGAAGATGTAAGCTCTCAGCTTTCTGCTCTGGCTGCCTCCTGCCATGCCTCCCCACCATGACGGACTTATCCCTGTGGAACCGTAAGCTGAATGAATAAACTCTTCCTTCTATAAGTTGCCTTGGTCATGGTGTTTTACCACAACAGCTGAAAAGAAGCTAATAGAGAGCCTAATGGGAGATCTTCCAGTCACTGGGGGAGGGTGTCGTTGAAGGGAATTGTAGGACGCACTCTTTCCTCTTCATGTTGGCCTTCAGATGAGCAGCTATGTTCCAACCCCACTCCTTGCTATGATGTGCCACCTGCCTCACCACAATCATAAAGTTGTGTCACATGGCCAACTGTCCATGGACTGGAACCTTCTCAACTGTAAACCAAAATAAACCTTTCTTATTATTTAATTTTTTAATTTTAATTTTTATTATTTTTTATTTATTTATTTATTTTTGGTGTTTTTGAGACAGGGTCTCCCTGTAGCCCCAGCTGACCTGGAACTCACTATGTAAACCAGGCTGGCCTCGAACTCACAGAGATCTACCTGCCTTTGCTACCTGAGTGCTGGTATTAAAAGCATGAGCCACCATGCCTGGCTTTTTAAATTTTTTTAAAAAATATCTTATTATTTTTATTTTGTGTCTGTGAGTGTTTTGCCTGCATGTATGTAAATGCACCATGTGTGTGCAATGTCTGTGGAGGCCAGAAGAGGATGTCTGATACCCTAGAACTGGAGTTATAGATGGTTGTTAGCCACCATATGGGTGCTGAGACTTGAACCCAGGTCCCCTGGG